TCATTCATCACTTGCTTAAACACTCGCTAAACTCAACATTCCATTCAAAAGGGATGCATCTTCTCTTTAAATAACACTGTGGTGGCACAACTAGGTAACACTACTTTTCCTATTTCACCACAAACTTGTGAAATTAATGAAAATGCTTAGTCAATTAAGTTTAAAAAAATTAGTTTAATGGAAACTAAAAGTTTACATGTCACCTCCATTTTAATCTTTCTACATTTAAATGATTAAAAACGTCTCCAATTGCTTCATTCCATGATACTCTTGCTATAATTCTGAATAACTAATTAGACATGTATTAGCCTTCACTTGTAAAGCACTACATTAATGCAATGATACAGTTTGATTCTATACCATTACAGGCAACAGTTTCAGCTGACCATTTTCAGCTGATGCTAATTTCAAACAATACATTACAACGATGCTGAAAGCAATCCACATCCCTTGATAACTTTAGGCAAAGTTTGAATTCACATGAATATGCTATGATTGATTTGAAATCACTTCAGTAGTCCATAACCATGACTGCATCATTCTATCATGAATAACAGGAAAGCATTGTGGAAAAGGGTGATTACAAGAACAAAGCCTGCTGGGAAATGTCATATTGACATCCGAGGAAAAAACTCAAGCACATGAGGAGCAAAAATAAGCAATATCTTCAAAAAGACGCAAAACTCTCTTTGGGCTGTGTGGGATAATCATCACAAATGGGACTAAACTATTCCTCAGCTATACACTGTATGACAGCGTTTTCATGCTTAGGAGAGTGCATTTTTTAGTTTTCTCTACCCAGGCTAACCCATTATTTTTGTTTACTTGTCCTGACTGGATTGGGTGAAGGTTAGCATTGAAGATAATAGCTTTTTAAATGTAATATACAAAAGTAAATGTAATTTTTACGTTTTCAAAACAGCTCTGAACAAAATACCCTTCTTTGAAATAGAGCCTTGAACTACTGCCATGGACTACTGCTCAACCTGCCGTTTCCTGCCATGCTTTCCACTGGCCCTCAGCGGCTTCATTGTGGGGAATAAATGACAACTGTTTGTCTGGCCCCATGGTATAATGGATGGTGTTTCATAAGATGGAGAAATGAAACTACGTAAACAAATATTCTTTATATCAGAGATTGCAATCTGTGGCATGGTGAGTGGTTTAGGTTTTTAAACTCAACAATGTTGATAAAGCATCGAGACCAATGACAGTAAATAGTATAAAGAAAACAAGGATCTAGAGGTGGAATAAACTTGGTTTGGTGGTTAACATTTGGTTTGCACCAGCTCTGAACCTTGATTAAAAACAGTGATACATTTTAGGTTAATGGCATCATTGCATCCTAAAAATGTTTACAATATCAGTATTTTAAAACATGTACCTGATTCATTTTAAAGAACTTGAGCAGTGATTTTACACAGTGTTCTAGTAACGATGGAGTGACTGACACTCCTACCCCTCTTCTTAATTAGCTCACTAAATGATTTCAAGCTTAATTGCATGTCAGATTATTATTGCATGACAGCAGCTGTTTGACGACAAGAAGACAAACAGCTGAGATGATCTGCAGTGAAGCTCCTCTGGGGCTTCTAGGATTATTCAAGCATGTGAGATGATGCCGCTGAGAAGCTGGTAGTGAACATGCTGGTCATTCTGTGAAACTGCAGTAATATAATCTCTATTTATTGTCTTTATAAAGCCATTCTAATTTAAATACACGGCTACGAATACACAGCTGCTGTGACGAGTAGTGCTGTTTTAACTGTCAAACTTCACAACATATCCAATAGCCATGTTTCCATCCAAAGATGCAAATTAAATTTACGCGTAAAAGAGAGTATTGCATAAATTATTTGGGAATAAAGAGCTCATTCCATCCAACGAGTACAAGAGAACAAAATCGTCACTTCCTCAAAATCAGGCACCAGATATCAAAAGTAAAATGAAAGTTGGTGCATTCGGGAAAAGGCCTTTTTTCATATATAATAACTTACTTGTGTCTTAGAATACATAGACAAAACGTAATTTGTGTAGTCATGTCGTCTTACTTTTGGGAGACTGCTCTTTGGGTTCTGAGAGGTGATAATCCTGAACCACTTTGACGACACACTTTGGCACACGCTAAGGAATTTTAGAATGACATTTCAGATGTTGTGAAATGAAATCAGTCCATTGGTTAGTCCATTAATGGCACGCCATCATATTACAACAAACGGTTGAAAATGGTGGTGGAATCCTGCCTCAAATTCATGTGATTATTTAATTTAAATATAAAGTTTATTTACACCCTTGTGACATTGTGCATGTGGCGAAGGCAATGTAAACACATAAATTATTTTGGTTTTAATAATACGGGTTGCATTTGAAAGAATGTATAAACAGAGGATTTAGGCATCAAATCAGAACTGAGCATCAAGGCCTTCAATGTAAATGAGTCTTATATTGATTTCAGTTTCTTTACCTTATAATAAAACAGAAATTCTGAATAATCTCTAGCAACCTGGATTTTAATTACAATGTCAGTATGAGAAATTGCTTGAAACAATATTTTAAATGCCTATAAAGTTTGCTCTTTCTCTCGTTGCAGAGAGACCAGAATTTATTTTCAGGACCGGCAAAATGACATTGTAAAACACAGAAAAACAACATGGAAGCACTGACTAGTTCTATCATCTGGTTTTGAATGAACCATGAAAGAGTTTCACTTCAAACTCACAAAAAGCACCACAATCAAAGTTCCATTTTGGTCAACAGATGACGATTGCCATGTATCAGTTGTAGAAGGCAGTGGTAAGAGATGTGCCTTTTTGTTTTAGATGTGAACAATCTTTGACTCTATCAAGTTCAACAAATTGTTTCAATAATGTTGACTGAAGCCACAAAGTACAGACTTTCAGAACTTTTTATTATTTTATGAGTGGTTTAAATTATCTGTTGGTTCATATATGTGTAGAATATGTCTTTTAAATTGAAACAAACATTAACATTTCTATCATACATCGTTCAAAAACCTTGTGGGATTTTTTTCTACGGCACACAGTAATCATAATAATGAAATGTTTTATCTACATGCAATCAGAATGATAATTACCCAACGTGGGTTCAGTTGTTTTATACCAAGAGAGCATATTGTGTCTTTCCCAATCAGGCCATTGTTTTCCACAGAAAAGAGTTTAAATAGTATTCAAAAACATAAGTATTTAGTATTTTAAAAGTTTTCCTCCAAAACCTTACATATCCATTAACGTTAAAAGGGGTATTTTACTCCACAAGAATGAGTTTGCATGAAAATTTTAATTGTTCAGATAGATCTTTGTTATTTAGGGATAATTAGGCTGATTTGAGATAAATGCCAGTTTTCCTGGGCTATATCTTGTGGAGATCGTAACAATGGAGCCTATATCTCATATTTTCTAATGATTGCTTATAGGCTTTTAAAATGTTATTCATACTTAATTTATACATCACAACTAATCATACATTTGTAAAAGATATATGTAGTATGCAGTACTAGTAGTATAACAGCAGCAGTGCCATGTAGCAACATGTTCCATTTAGGAATTTGTCTCGTTTGTGTATGTTATATTAGGTTTAAATAATTTGGAACTTGACTGTGCCCGCTGAAGATTAGACTAGAATTTGGCAGTTTAATTCAGTTTCAGCAACGGTACAGTGCTCCTATCCCATCTTATTGCCTATTTTAAGGGTTTGGACTGTAGCAGCTTCAAAGTTCTGTGGAACATCACAATCTATGCATCCATAGTTTTACAGTGTATGACTATCACTATTATTTGTTTATTTATTTTTTGCTATGTTACTCTCATTTAAAAGCAGAGTTAAAAATACGCACGGATGGAATTTTCCACCAGAACCATTCATGGTATACAGACCTTTTTACGGTTAGCATAAAGGTCCCTTTTGTAAAGAGATTGAGTGTTAGATCTACATTCACAGTATCGTTATCAGTAGATCCCAGTCTTAGTTAGCCAGCCCTTGTTCAGTGCTTAGCATGTATACCAGCGAGGATGTTTGCCTGCCTGCAGCCTCAAACCGTGAAGCTCATAGTTGGCAGTGGGGGCCTGACCTGATTTACTGTTAATGCATTTTAATACAGGCAAGTCCCTGGTCTAATACAGCGCATCTCGGGGATTCGGGGATAAGGGTTCTGCTGCTGTGTATAATCATTTCATCATTTATTCATGTTGGTCTATAAACAGAGGGGAAGAAGCATGCAGACGCAGTTTAAGAGAAGAAACCTGAAAAATTTTTGAAAATGATTTGAGTAATAAAGTGTTTTTTTCTGAAATGTATGATTAAACAGTGCTTGAGATTTATTTCAGATGTAACAGAAATACCACCTCCCCCTTCAAAAAAAAGAAAAGAAAAACACATTCTGTTGTAGTGATACCACAAAATGATTGTAGTTGTGGTGCAGACCCCATGTCAGTCTACTAACATAAACTTTTGCCCAATTTGGCAACCTTATTAGTCAGCCTACAAAAAATAGTCAATAACGAATTGAATTTTAAAAACATAATTGTATTATACACCTCATAGTTGAAAACCTGCCTGTGGTTAGCTCTTTTTTTTGTACCATCAACAAGAATGGGGACTGTGGTCAAAGTGCTTGTCAAGTAAACAGAGGGTCCAAATCAAGCGCAATGTTTTTTTAACAATACACAACAGAGGTAACTGTAGTCAGGTTTTGAACTACAAGGAAAATAATTCAATTACATTTTCACAATGAAGGAAAACATGAAATTGATTCGTGAGGAAAAGTTGTATATTGTTTAGGCACCGCTGGGATTTGAACCCAGGATCTCCTGTTTACGAGACAGGCACTTTCACCAACTAAGCCACGGTGCCCTGTTTGGTTGACATTCCACAACAGAGGTAACTGTAGTCAGGTTTTAAACTACAAGGAAAATGATACAATTATATTTTCACAATGATGGAATCACAGAAATTATTTCGCAAGGAAAGGATGTATATTTTTTAGACACTGCTGGGACTTGAACCCAGGATCTCCCTTTACGAGACAGAAACTTTAACCAACTAAGCCACAGCGCCATGTTATTTAAACTGTACACAGCAGTGGTAAAAGGCTCTCTACTAGCGGCTTGTTTGGATGCACACTTAGGAGGGTTACACAAGGAATTAAAATGCCTTTTCCTTATCTGTATTACAACATATATGTTCATGAGTATAAAAAAAATTGGTGGAATGTTAGATATTTTTACATATATAATTTAGATAGGGAAAATGTGTTTATAATCAACATTACAGGAATGATTGTGACAGAATGTCATATTAATACATTGAGAATAACTATAAATACAAAAAAGCAATATATCAAGGTTCAGAAAGAACTTGAAAATGCTGATCAAACAGAGTGACATCACACTGGATATCAACATTTTGACTAACTATGAGATAAATATTTTCTAATATTGTAATTGTTGTTTTTAATGTTTAAATTTTTACAACCTATATTTTTCCAAAATGCCACAGTAAGTTCTCGCCAAATATGATGAAACCGACTATAAAGATTTTTTAAAAAGCCAATTTAATATTCAAATTTACATTTTTATTTTTGCACATTTCACGATTCTATTCCTCCAAATTTCTACAAAAATATTTTAACAAATTTGGTGAGAATATGCACAATTATTCATTGAATGTTTAAAATCCTAAAACCTAAATTTCTCCAAAATGCCACATTATCTTACTAAATTTGGTAAATACATTTTCAGATCCACTGAACACAGATTAACATGCCATAAATACTTCCAAATCATTTTTTAATAATATTTATAAATGGATTATTAACAATTTGTCAAATCTTGTGATAGTGAGGCTTATGTTTTGTTAATGCGGTGTTTTATAATGAACAGTGTTCATTTTCTTTAATAAAATAGTATTTACATCAAGCACAAATAACGGAAGGGTTAAAAAAACATCCATGTACTACAGTCCACCAGAATTCAACATTTATTTTCAACATGAATGATTAAATATCGTGGCATTCGTTCCACATTTCTTCTAAAAGCCATAACGTTAGCTGTTTACCTATTCTTCCTGGTTTGTTCCCACTGGAACCTTTCTGTGAAGAGTTATGATATTGGTGGCATGGTATACCTTAAAAAAAACGTAACGCATGGATATTGAAACATGGAAACTCAATTCTGCCATATTTTCAATTTACTTTCACAGTCCAATAATGTCTTTCATAAGATCTTTCATTCTATTTATTTGAGTGCAGAGCCAGAGGATGTGTTCTTCTTCGGCTGAAAGCTCTAGCATCTAAACGAACTTTCTAGTGGCCCCCAGTGAAAAAAAATTTTTTTGTGTGAATCTCTTGTCGAATCAGTGGACCATTAGTGCACAACCTTACTGCAAATCAAAAACACAACACAAATCAACTTTGCATACGCAATGCTATTGCAAATCAAAAACGGCTTTTGCAAATCAAAAGTTGTTGTTTTTTTTTTTTATTTGCAGTAGCCGTTTTTGATTTCCAATAGCCATTTTTCATTTGCAATAGTGTTTATTGTGCCACTGTACAATCCAGCAAGAATGATCTTCAAAGAGCACCAAATTATACAGAAAAGCAATTCTGTGGAATCATAGAAATGATAAATTTTTGATGGAAAATTATTCTTGCGTGAATAGCAGTAAAAGCGTAATTCACTTGCTTCGTCAATTCTGAATGAAGAGATTATCTGCCATTCGTCATGTATTGCCAGAAAAAGATGCATTTTAAACTGATTTGACTTTATCAATTTACTTTTTCTATAATAAAAGCAGAAACTCAAAACACTCTACAAATATGGGCAGATTATTTTGAATTTCTAAATAAACATACAGCCAATAGCAGTCTGTCTTTGATAAGATTTTTTTTTTTCAAAATTACTTGAAAATAGTAAGATGTAATTTAATGGAATAGTTTTTGTGCCTGTTTTATAAATTGTCATCAATGTGCACCCTTTATTGCAAATATCTTAATTCATTGGCTCACCAAATGTTCATAAGGAAAATGTCTGACCATTTTTTTATTATTATTTGACATGGTTAAATATTTAAATAGACTGACACAATCACAAGCCAACCTTCATGCTCCTGACATCAAAGCTATAAGCAGAAAAAGACACATCTCAACTCAATCAAAACTGAGTCTATCAAAGCTCCAGATGGACAAGAACCAAAGAGAACACTGCCATCTGCTGTTTAAAAATAACTGAAAAAACAGATTAGTAATTATTTGATAAGACATCTGAGGAGCCTCACAATGAATAAAAGGTCAGTAGTTATCTTATGCATTTTAATGCATACTCCTTTTGTTCACATAAACAACAAAGCAGAATAACACAAAGCTAACTGCTACACATGCTAACTGCACCATAAAGAGTATTTAAAAGTGTTAAAATATTTATAATCCTGAATTTCGAAAAAGAAGCTTGATCAAATAAAACTGAAAGTCTTTCCAACATTTAATTCCCTTCTTCATCCTCCTGCTTGAACAACTGAATGTTGGAATTATGTAGATAGCATATAAAGCTAATAACAGACGAAACAAGAGCTTGAACACCATCTTTCACCCATTTAAATCAGTGCGTTTTAAAGCAAAACTCTGTGCTAGTAAAGCTAATACCTTGTGAATGGTTTTACATCTCTTTTTCTTTTAAAGTATGCACTGAAGCTAAAATAATTGAAACCAAGCATGCATGTTTATCAAAACAATTCAGTGTCAGAAGTGTAAAATTATGGCTTTTAATTACAGTAAAAAGACTGTATATGTTGCTTGTGTAGTAACAAGTAGAGGTTACTGTAGCTTATAAAAATAAATAAAGTATAGATGCAACTAAAGTATAAGTTAAACATCTAGTTTCTACATTGCACAACTTTTAATATTTTTATGGACCAATGTATTTAGGTCCCAAATAGAAGGAAGGCTCAACCTGATTTTTAAAGGAAAACACAGATTGACAATCTGTTCAGATTCACAAATAACAGTAAAAAGTGCCATGAACTGACAAACCAAAAAGTACTTAAAACTATAAAGTCTTTTTTCTGTGTGTTTTGTTTTTTAAAACTGCTTTTTATTTGCTCAGACAGCCAAAAAGACTTACCACGCTAAAAACTGAGGACTCAGCTCAGTCCATTTTTTTATTTTTCTGTTATTGCAAAATGTAAACATAAATCAAACTATATTTATGTATCTATATTCAAACTATATTGATGTCAAAGTATCTCACCATCTGCATTACGGGAAGTTTCAGCCTAGTTTTCACCCTTAGAAGTCCTTGAACGCGACCAACCCATTGTTTCATTTTGATTTGGAATATAATGTGTGGTTTTCAAAAGGATTATTAGTTTTGACATTTTTTAAATAAACATTACAAAAGTTATCACACTCCAATTAAAAAGTCATTCAAAATAAAATCTGAGAAAATGCATGATCATCTTTTAGTTCAATTTTACAGATCCCAAATTGGTGCTATCTAGTCGTGAAAAAAGGAATAACCCTCGCAAGTACAACATCTGTGATATGGCTTTTTGCACACAGTTCTGGCACAAAAGTGCTTGGAAGAGTGTATAAAAGAGGTTCGCCTGTTTTTTACAGAAATGTTTTGACATTGTCCGCTTTCTTGGGGGAATTTTAATTTTGTTTTTCACTTTTTTATTTTTCACTTTTCATTTTTGTTATACAACATAATATACTTTTGGTTCTCATTTTTTGCAGTAAAAAATTACAAAATGTAATACTTCGAATTGTATTTTTTTTTTTTACAATTTCAGGTTTGTTGTGGAATTATTGTGTAATGTAATGAAAAATTGTAAATGACAGAAGCTCGGGAAGTACTAAAATTCTATCAAGCACTGCAACAAACAAACTGTTTTAAAGGTAATTTATTAGAGCTAATTGTAAAAAAAAATGGTCAAAAAGGCCTCATACATCTAATGCCTTAAAATAGAGAGAAGCAGGGTGAGTAGCCACGATGCCATTAAAGGGCCAGATAGTTACTACATGTGTTCAAGATTGTTTGTTGTATGCAAACAAGCCGATGTATGATGGGTACAGTGCCACTAATAAAGCTAATTCCTTGTCAATCTTATTACAACATCTCCCCCAATAGTCTCATTGTCATCACACTATTTACTCAAATGGTATAGCAGGGATTTGTCAATATCATCCACTATCAGCAGATCTGCCTCTCGTTGCAGGTTTCCAAGGGAACAAAGATTCACTGTCTGTTTCTATGGAGAACAAACACAAACCTCAAGGTTAGCAATATTAAGGAGTCTTATTCATGTGGAGAAGCTGAGAATATCTGACGTTGCAGCTGAGCCTTCTATCTGGAGTCTGTCTGCTGTCTTTTTCATCCCTGTACAATCCATCCCCAGAATGACATGAGAGGCGATCAACAGTGATGGCTGAGTTCTCACTGCACCACTGTGATCACAAGACACAACAAATCCCACCCCTGAAAAATGCAGATCTGTTTGCATGAGGCTGCTCAAACACAAAGCTAATGTACAGCTTCTGAAAATATCCGTCTTTGGTACTCCAAAACAAATGTTCCCCATGTTAACCAGGCGAAACTTCGATTTCACAGACAAGAAGCCTTCTTCACAGACTACTGAGAATGTATTCACTATTCAGTGCTATTCTGAGAACGTGTCAGAATCAACTAATGAAGACAAAGCAGATGTTTGGGGAAGGAGGAAGATATGATTGTGCTTCTTAATGTAATACATTAATGCAGACCTCAGGTGTCCTTGACAAATCCTGTGGCTCCATATATATATTTTAAAGGCCCTTCGGCAGAATTAAACTTCATTAAAAAATGCCTTAAGCTATTTATTTTAACCTCACGTGATGTGCTTCTGCTAAGTGGTTATCAGTTGTTTTGTGACTGAAGCTGTATAATTCAAATCTCAGTTGAGCAGCGGGGACTGTGCTGTGTTTGTGTTGGGATTCACACCCACATTAACGCTGTGTTTGTGGCAGAATCCCAAAACAGCTCAATTTTCAGGTTGTTCATGCCATCAAATCCAGTCCCAAGACA